AACAAGGTGAAGAGCAACCGAGGAGATATCTGATGTAGAAATCTGTTCTCCATATGGACACATGCACATGTGCACACACACACTCACCCACATAAACATACATGGTAACACACACAGGAGAGAGGGAGAGAAAGGGAGAGAAGAGGGAGGAAGAGAGAGGACCAGAGGAAGGGAGAGAGAGATTTGTAACTACTACAAAGGAGTTTAGGTTGTGGAGGTTATAAATTTAGTTTTAAAATTTGCTAAGTCCCCAAACAAAAATGTTTAAAATAAATTATAACTTTTTCTTTTTTCTATTGACCAGAACAAAATGGTTGTTTTTGAGCTGTTTACCCATATTTTCTCATAACGATGTAATTCTACTTAATTTGGCTCTATCTACAGTTAAATATAAGAAATAATAAATTTTGACATACAGAATTTTATTATTTGTTAAAGTCTAAACAAAATTTCATACCAATGAGACAGGTGTACTTGATTATTTTTATATAAGCAAATATTAGCCAAATATTTGATATTTTATGATCCAGATATCTTGAATATTTTTCAGAGTTGATTGCTATTTTGATAAGTCAGTGCTGAGAATGCCACTTTGCTTGAATATGTAATATAAAATGGCAGAAGAAGGCTTAAGGCCATTTTAGAAGTTGTCAGAAATTCTATCCTAATCCCAAGACAAAGCTCATTCAGTAACTTTTTTTCTCTATTTTTTTTTTTTTTTGGTGTGTAGATGTGTGGTGTATACATGTCTGTGTACATGTGCACATTGCACAGGCCAATACATGCATGTATGGAAGCTAAGGGTTGATGCCATGTACCTTCCTGTATAACTCACCAGCTTATTTTTTTAAAGACTGGATCACTTACTGAACCTGGAGCCCATGACTGGCTAGACTGACTGGCCAACAAGCTCTTAGGATCTTCTGTCTCTGCCTTCCAGTACTGGGATTACAGGCATGTGCCACCACACCAGGCTTTGTACGTGGGTGCTGGGGGTCCAGGCTAAGGTCCTTATTTTTGCACAGCAAACACTTTACCCATTGAGCCATCCCCCTAGCCCTTTTTTGTTTTTCATATGAAACTCAAGTCAGCAATTCAAACTGATTTTTATAATTAACCATTCTAATACAATACAATTCAAGGATATTCTAACTTAAAACATGCTGAGAAGTGACAGTACTTAAGTGTTTGGGGTCTGTTTTCTTTTTTTTCTTTTTCTTTCTTTTTTTTTTGGGTCTTTTTGAGACAGGGTCTCCCTGTAGCCCCAGCTGTCCTGGAACTCACTATGTGGACCAGGCTGGCCTTGAACTCACAGAGATCCACCTGCCTCTGCCTCCCGAGTGCTGGGATTAAAGGTGTGCACCACCACACCTGGCCTGGGTCTTTCTGTTTTCTAAAGAACGTTCTCAGCAGCATGTGCTGGTCACCATATTCACCTTTGTTCCAGGCCCAAAGCAGTAGATTCAAAATGAAGCCTCGAAAATTCCTTCACTGTGGGGGCAGCCAGCTGCCACACTGCAAGCAGTCCTAGGAGAGGTCTCATGGCAGGACTGTGGCCAGCCTGTGCAACTGAGGCCTACCTGCCAACAGTGAGCTTGAAAATGGATCTTCTCCAGTTGAGCCTTGAGATGACTACAGCCCTGGCTGTCAGCATAATTGCTTCCCTGTGAGAGACTAAGCCCTAGAAGGGTTTGTAAATTCCCGACTCACAGAAATGGTGAGATAAAATTTATCATGCCCAGTCAACTCTGGGATAATGTCAGCTGTCTTCTAGCTGCCTCCTCATGTAGGCAATCTTCATCTCGTTCCTGCATGTGTCTGACCCTGGGTGAGGGAATAATTCCAACCAGTACATTCATCACATTACAGAACAATTTCAAAGCTAGATTCTTTAGCATGTCTCCTAACCTCCTTCCTGCTTGGTCCTAGCGCTCCACTGAAGCCTCATCCAGCCTTCCCCTGCTTCCTGAAACATCCTCCCTCATTCCTTTTCCCCAAAGCCTTTCCGAGGTCCCCAAGTCTGGGTTGGTTTTCCACGGGGGAGAAGAGTCTTTGTTTTCATAATGGGTATGAGTGTTGTGAGTTCAGAACAAAGCTGCAGTGGAATTGCATTGCCAGAAACACCTCGCTTTATCACACATTTTATTTTGAATTAGTCCTTGATCATGGTATGTTCAGAAACTATTTTTACCAAATATTTCAATCCCCACATCTACCTACGTGACCCCATAGGGGGTAACGACCCACAGTTAAAGAACCTGGGCCCTAGTAGATAAAGACCTAGAATGAGACGTTTATGAAACACCAAGGGAAAATAACCAGACTCAGGGCCTCAGCTCCACCCTCACTTGTACCATGGACATGACTTCACGTTGCCTTATAGACTGCATCTTCCTCCCTCTGGGACGGTCTCACACATTCAGTCACTGAACATGTGAGCACTGACTATGTAAGCAGGGCCCTGTCTTACACAGGTCCCCTCTGCCGTCTTTCCAAGTGAGGCACAGGGACAGATTCTAGGTATAAAGCCTCTGCACATCTCATTCCAGACCACTGCTTACGTCTCAGTCTTGACGTCATTCCTAGGAATGAGCGCTCTAGCAGGAAAAAAACCAAATTCTCTCTTAGGCAGTCAAAATGTATGAGTGAGAAACCTTGATGAGATTCCTCCCAGATCCAGTTTTCTTTCTAGAAATTAAATGAAACACATTTTACTAAGAGGAATGCTCCTAGGATGCTCCTGGCCTTCTGCTAGACACACTTGTGCTGCAGTGCAGATGGCTTTCTAAATTACCTTGTTCTTTATGGAGGTTGTAGGGTATTTGAAAGCAATGCTAGAGCTGGAAGGAAACTTACAAACTTTTCAAATTTGGTGGCACAGTGAACAAGAGCTGCCACCAGATCTTCCAGATCTAAAACAGAGATCCTGGACCTCAACCACTAACTTTAAAGGTCCAGCTCATGTGTGAAAGAAAGCTTCAGGAAAATTATCTCCTCGTGAGTGCAAGAAAAGGGATGATGTAGGCTGAGAACATTTGATCAAAGGAACAAGTCATGGGGTGAATAACCAATGCCATCTGGGGCTAGATGGACAAATTCCATGGATTAGGAAGCATCTTTTGGTTTGGTCCACCAGAGTCTGGCACAGTGTAGCAGCTGTGGATGTGCCACGAGGAAGGATCAAACTCTGTGAATGCTTTGTTTCTCAGCCTTTGTGGGCAGATCTACCACACCCAATCCAGGAAGAAATCCAGCAGACAACAGCGGAAGAGACAGGGGCGAGGACACAGGCTCTGCCCAAAGACTCTGAAGCATGGCCAGCAGGTCAGTGTACTGAGGAGGAACTAAGCACACTGAAATAGTAAGTTTAAAAGAGTGACTGAAAGCCCATGGATTTTGAGTCTTTCTAAGAGCACATTGTAAAGACAGTGCTTTGTTCCTACAATGAGTGGTAAATCATTTCTACACAGATAAGGTATTAGGGACAGGCTCATGATATTGTGAGTCCTACAGGCAAGCAGGGAAAACCACACTGCCTAATAGGGAATCCCATCTTTTCACAAGTTCCTTAATAAAGGGCAAATGATCACCTCATCTTGGTGCCATTGGGTAGGTTGTAAGTGTTGGGAGGGAAGCCATATAGTGGATGAACTTGACCCATAAAACCCCTGATTCAAGTCTTGGCTCCATCTCCTACTAGCAGTATTATTTTAGACCAGTTGCTTTATCTCCAAGCCCCAAGTTACTCAAACGCACTGTAGAGAAAGCCATTCCATAGTACTATGCAGATTTACATGCTTGGTATAAGGAAATCCTTCTTCCTACTAATCTGTGCCTGGCTACAGCTAGGAGTAGGCTGGATTTAATTAACTAAGTATGTTTAGAGGACCCCATTTTGTTTTTCAGGCTTTCTTTGTAGAGCCAAGTTAAGAATTGGAGTTGTGGGCAAGGTGCAGTTTAAAGAAACAGAACTGGAAGATTGGGCTCTGCACTTGACTTTGTACTAGCTGAGGGGCTTTGGGCAAATTATGAATCCTTTCTGAGCCTCCCTTTCCTTGGTGGCATAATGAAGGATTTGAACTTGAGATCTTAGGGCTGTCATGTGCCAACAACAGCCATCTGAGGGCTATTGAGAAGGGGCTCAAAGCCACGTTTAGGTACAGAAGGGAACAGTATCAAGACAGAAGAAAGTTTCTGCACCAAAGGACCCCTGGACCAGATTATTTGAAAATCCCTTTCAACTCTGGTAATTTACAATCCTAAAGCTCATATACCAAACTGGAAGTTGGCTGAGAAAATCTGCCAACAGATTAGTCTTTGTGTTGTTTTAATGTTAATACACATGCTGTGGAAGCCATTACAAAAGCTGTCTTTCACTAGCATCACACAGTATATTTAAATTGTTAAATAAGTAACCAAAATTTAAAAATCAAGAAATTTCACATAGTTGATAATCACATAGCATTGATAGGCTTGATAGGAACTGTAGCTGTCCCTTTCACAAGGGTCAGTGCTATGATTTGGATGTTTGTCCCCAGAATTCTTGTATTAGAAACAACCCTCAAAGTCATATGCCAGTGGTGGATCGGGGTGGGGTCTTTGGAAAGTGATTGACTCATAAAGGCTCATAGATTAATAGATTAATAGGCTAGTAAGTTATCAAGGAAATGTCTGTAACTATTAAAGCATGTCACTTGAAAAGCCAATTGGGGCATTTCCAGGGGTCTCTTCAACATGTAAGCCCTTCACTACCCCTCCTGCAAGAAGAGCCTTCCCAGATTTCTTAGCTTAAGAAATAAATGTCTTTGCTTTAAACTCAGTGCTAGGTATTCATCACAGCAGCAAAGTATACTCTACAACACACAAGCACCAACTTTCTTAGTTACTACATTCGTTACCTGCATGGCCCTGGGAGGCCTTGTAACCCTTACCCTAGCCCTCTTGTCCTCCCATCTTCTGCTCTTTTCTATCTCAACACCTCACACAAACTACATACTTGCCTTCATTAGGGGCATTCTTGTCCCACACAGACCACATCTGGACGCTGAAGAATGGTGCCCAGCAAGCAATGTAGGCCAGCACAATGACAAAAGTCATCTTCACAGTTCGGATCTTTGCTCGAGAGATGGTGCTGATGCTGCTGACGCGGGACGGCAGCCCCCTAGTGGCTACAGTGGGAGAAGATAATGAAGACTTGTTCCAAGTCTTCCAGCCCCTTTCTTCCTCCCTGACAGCCTGGGTCTTGACTTTAAGGTTCTTGCAGATCTCATGGCAGATTAGGCTATAGCAGGCTGTGAGGATGACCACCGGCAGGACAAAGATGGCCATGGTGGTCCAGGTGATGTAGGCCTGTGGCCCCCAAGAGAAATAGAAATCTGCCCAGCAGTCCAGCACCCCTGAGCCCTGGATCACCTCTCTCAAAGAAAAAATGAAAACTTGAGGGAGGCTGAGGATGGCAGCCAGTAGCCAGGGAGCAACAATGAGAGGGTAAGTAGACTGACTGGGCTGTTGGAGACTTCGCAGGGGGTGACAGACAGCCAGGTATCTGTCCAGTGTCATAGCCAGCAGCATGTAAGTGGAGGCGAACATGCTGAGCACTTGCAGGTACTTGACAGCCCGGCAGAGGAGATCAGAGCCTTGGAAGCGGTAGGTGATGTCCCACAGCAGCTGGGGCAGCACCTGGAAGATGGCCACACCCAGGTCAGTCAAGGCCAGGTGCAACACAAACAGGTGCATGCGGGGATGCTTGCGGCCCTGGCGTCCCAGTGTCAACAGTACAGCCAGGTTGCCCCCTGTGGCCAGAACCAGGACAGTAGTCAGGATGCCAATCTCCAACTTGGCCAGCTCCTCATCCCTGCCCAGCCAGGGCATGGTGGCATTGGGAGCAAACAGGGGGCCCCCAGCCGAAGGGATGACTGTCCCAGAAGGCTCATAATCCATTCTCGGGGTTTGCTGGAAGAAAAGAGAGGAAGGAGAATGAACAGGGGGTGAAGGTGCAAGTAAGAAGCTGGATGGATAAAATGGGGTGGGAAACGTTTAGAAGTGGAGAGAAAAAAGGACGAGGACGGCAGGGACGAGGCTGGGAAACGGGCGAAACATTCAGAAGACAGGGATAAAGCCAAGGAGAATGAGCAGAGGAAGGCCCCTGGCCCCACAGAGGCCTAGGGACTCAAGAAAAGAGAAGAATGGCTGGGGAGCTGGGTGTCAGGATGAGAAGGCTGGAGGAGGCTGGAAGTGGGGGCATCCCGAAAGCCAAGAGGGAGGGAGCTGAGGGCGCAGCTGCCACCTTCCCGAAATCCAACCCAAGTTCACTTTATCCAAACTTTTCTGGAAGTGGAGGATAGATGTCCCCAAGCCGGTTGGAAGGTGCAATCCAGAGCCTTGGGCGTTGCCTGCGAGTCTGGATACCGGATCCCAGCCGTGTACTCTCTCCCAGAGCAGGAGCGGCAGCTCCGCAGAGCGCCTTTTAAACGCCAGAACTCCGAATCCAGCGGCTGCGGCTCGCTGATTGGCTCCTGCAGAGGAGCACAGAACGAGACCTACTACCACTCTCGGAAAAGAGAGGCTGGCTGGAGGGGGAGGATGGGAGGAGAGATGGTGGGGGAGAAGGACCAGGGGACAGGTAGGCAGAGAAGACACACCTTGGCTCTTGGGCAGAGGCAAGCGGATTGCAGTGAGATTGATAGCAGTCTGTTCTACCTGAACGTTTACAGGCCAGCTGGGGCTACATAGTGAGACCCCATTTCAAAAGTCATGTAAAATCAAGTTATTAATGATTTTGATATTCTAAAGATTCATTCATCATTAGAGAGAGAGAGAGAGAGAGAGAGAGAGAGAGAGAGAGAAACCTCGCTTCCCACTACACCGTTACACCACGGGGCTGTGGACGGTCCCAGCTCAAAGGATCCCAAGTCTTTGTGGGTGGCCAAAAGGCCCCTGCCCTAAGGAAAGCAGCGCTTTTCAGTCTAGGTGGGGGACTTGACTCTGCGAAGAAGGTAGAAAAGCGAGGATGTTAGTGGTGGAGAAAGGTGGGGGAGGGGTGGAGACCTAGACCTGGGAGCCCTAGTATGATGGGAATGGATGACAGGAGAAATTCCAAATAGAGTGTTTGCACTTCCAGGGAAAGCCTGAACTTCTGGCCTCTCCTGAGTTCTTGTGAAGAGCAAGGGGCTTCGGAGACCCTAAATGCAGTTCAGGACAGAAAGCGGTGTTTCAGAGAAATTGGAGTTTACCTAGAAGATTACAGATCTGGCCAGCAGAGCACAGAACCAGAGCAAGCCAGTATGCATTTCCTATGGGACAACAAAAGAACACATCGCCACCACCATCACTGTGAGGACACAGAGCAGAGCACACGCACAACAGGACATTGTCAGCTCTATGGAGCAAGTACTTCAAGGTTAGGGAACTCAGTGTGCATATCTGTCCATGGTTTTACTTGTTTTGATTTCCCTTTCTATGAATTGCTCATATTGTCTGCACAGCTTCTGTTTTTTTGTCAATTTGTAGGACCTTTCATATCAGTTATGATATGAAATTTTTGTATTCTCACAATGCATGTTGTTTCTCTTATCCAACCTTCTATGTCTTGTGTCTCTACTTCCAAAATATTCTTTCCTGCATCTTCTTCTAATAAACTTGTTTTTCCCATTAGGTCTGCAATTCATTTGGAATTTGTGTGTGTGTGTGTGTGTGTGTGTGTGTGTGTGTGTGTGTGTGTGTGTGTGTGTAAATCTTGAACTTCATCTCTAACTTCATTTTCTTCCCAGGGAAAATGAATTTTCTCAATTTTTTTTTTTTTTCTTGAGACAGGTTCTCCTCATAGCCCCAGCTGTCCTGGAAGTCACCAGGCTGGCCTCAAACTCACAGAAATCTGCCTGCCCCTGCCTCCCAAATGCTGGGATTAAAGGCGTATGCTACCATGCCTGGCTAGATAAGCTATTCTTAATCAACTCAAGAAAGTATTTTTAAGTCCCAATTGGTTAAAATAAAACACAAAAAATGAATATTGAATTTTATTGAACTAAGTTATGTGAGTTTTCAAGATGTATTTCAAAAGGACAAAGACTTTGTTATACATATAACCATGACATATTACAATCCCTGTTAGGGCTCTCCAGGAGAAAAGGAAGTGTGATATTACATGGTTGTATATAGAGAGGGCGAGAAGACAGGAAAGGACACGAGAACAGGGAATAGGATGGAAGGGGAGTGGAGATTTATAAGGAATCAGCTGTATGATTTATGGAGGCAGAGAAATCCCATAGTGTACATATTTATAATTAGTATATTCGGGAGTGTGGCTGGTGGGAGAGTGCTTCTAGCATGGCCTAGGTTGGAGCTCCAGAACTGAAAAACACCAAAACGAAAACACTGTAACTGAATGCACCCAGCTGGGGATCCAAAAGAATCTGTAGAGTTCTAGTCCAAGTCTGAGGCAGGAGAATAAACCTCAGTCTGAAACCCAGCAGGCTTGAAATCCAAGAACTGGTTTTCAGCTGAGCTCCAACAGTAGGGAAGATCAGTGGCCCAATTCTAGAAGCAGGTCCCAAGAAGTTCCCTTTCAGTCAATGAAGGATCAGCCTTTATGTTCTCTTCTGATTAGGTGTGCTACCCACATTAGGGGGAGCAATCTGCTGCAGCTTTCAGCCTTAAAACACCCTCGCAGATAAGTTTAGGATAATGTTTGACCAAATATCTGGCCACCCAATGACCATTCACATTGATACATTAATTAATCATCACGGGCTGGTAAGATGACTCAGTGGGTAAAAGTGCTTGTTGCACAAGCCTGATGATATGAATTTGATCCCCAGATCCCACAGCGGAAGGATAAAACCAATTCTTGAGTGTACCATAGCATGCACATCCCTGCACTCAAACACCTACACTCATACAGACATCACACATAACACACAGTTATATAACAAATAATAATATCACAATGTCTAAAACTATTAATAATTCATTAAGTTATCAAATATTCAGTCAATGTTCATAATTTCTTCATGGTCTAATAAAAATCTTTTAATGTTCTTTAATGATCTGCTTGTTTGATTCCAGATGCAAGTAAGTTTCCTGCACTGGCTCTGGTTAATTCTTTTAAGTCTGTTCTTCACATTCACTCCCACAATCTATATATTATCTTTATTCTTCTTTTACTATTCTAATTCTTTTCTTTAACGGTTTCACACATGTATATAATGAATTTTAGTCATTTTCACCCCCATTTCTCCTCTCTCTTTTCCAGCAAGTCTCCCTCTAACAAGGTGTGTGTGTGTGTGTGTGTGTGTGTGTGTGTGTGTGTGTGTGTGTGTGTGTGTGTGTGTGTGTGTGTGTGTGTGTGTGTGTGTCCTACTGAGTTTAATTGGATTTGTTCACATGGGTGGGAAGTTATTTACTGGCATATGAACAACTTACCAGTGGCTACAACATTTAAGAAAATGATACCCCCTCATTATCCCTCAGGGAGGGCCTATCCATGAGAAAAATGTTTTGGGGCTCAGTCTTGTGCAGGTCTAACCACTGCTGTGGCTAAGTTCATGAGTGCAACTACCAAGTCATGTCGAGAAGACATCTTTTTGTCACACACCTCCCCATCCTCTGCCTCTTACGTGCTTTCTGCCCCTTCTTCCATGATGTTCCCCAGACCTCGAAGGGAGTGATAGAGATGTCTTATTCAGGGCTGAGCATTCCACTGTCACATATTCTTGGCACTTTGACCAGTTATGAATCTCTGCATTAACCACCAGTTGCTGCAACAAGAAGTTTCGCTGATGAAGGCTGAAAGCAGAACTCACAGAAAAAAAACAAAAACAGAAGTATTTAGGAGGCAGTTTGACAATATGTATGTCTGGCACAACAACAGTGAGTTCCCCCTTAAGGCCTATGAACTCCCCAGCTCTTGACCAGTATTACTGGCATGACTTCCCTCCTATGGGATCAGTCCTCAAATCTAACCATAAAGTGGTGTTGGTTACCCCTGTAATAATCATTCCATCATTGTACCAGCAGGCACATCTTCAGATCACTATTGTAGCTCACCGTGTTCACAAGTGGTTAAGACTGTTGACATCTTCCCCTAGCAGCCTGCATAGAACAGTTTCCAGTTCAGTTCTAGCTTGAGTTCTCTATATCCTGAGACCAAAGTATGTGGTAACTAAGTAATACAGTCTTGCCATCTAGTTGTAGTGGACAACTAAGAGCAATGGCAATAGCCTGCATTGTTTGGGTGGCCTCTGGGGCCTCCCTGACCAACAATTAATTGGTAGGGAGGTATACCTGACAATGGGATAATTGTTTAATAACTTATGGCTTCTGGGAGGCTTATTATCCACCCATTGTATGTGTGTGTGTGTGTGTATGTGTGTGTATGCATGTTGTATGTTTGTGGGTACACATGCCATGGCACATGGTCAGAGAGCAACCCGTGGAGTTGGTTCTTTCCTTCCACCTTTACAGTTTCCAGGGATCAAACTCAGGTCAGCAGAATTGTGTAACAAGCATCTTTGCCTGTTGAACCATCTTGTTGGCCTTAAATTATAGTTTTTAATAAGCTTCTAAATGGTAGGTTTCCACACTTTTTCATAGTTCATTAGTTTTGATTACTCTTTTCTCTTCTACCATGGTCTCTCAGTCCCTTGTCTGCTCAAACCTTAGTACTATCCCTCCTCCCTTAAGCCTCTGTCTCTCCACTCCTTCTAAAGGCTCTTTTCTAGCTTCCTGGCCCCTCTGGGCACACCAAGTTAAATGCAGTAAGAATTCTTAGCTAGGATCCACACACTAGAAAGAACACAGGCATTGTCTTTCTGGGCCTGGCTTATCCCATCCAGTATAATATTTTCTAGTTCCATCCATTTTCTTGCAAATTTCATAATTTCATGGTTCTTTGCAGCTGAATAAAATTCTATTGTCTCTATGTACTACATTTTCATAGTACA